CATCCGCCCGATAGCGAGATTTGATCGTAACCATGTTGAGTGCGCGATAGTAATTGCACATGCGAAGCCCGCTGTCGTTTTTCGGCGTGAACAGGATCGGTGATGCGAATAGGGATGTACCGAGTCTGATGAACAATTTCTCCAGCAAGCCATCCAGCTGGCTTCGCAGCTCCTCGAGTTTAGGCTGAGTGGCCTAAATGGGCAAAGCAGGAGAGCGGTGTGTGGCATGAATGGGTGAAGCAGGAGAGGGGTGTGCGGAATGAATGGGTGAAGCAGGAGTGTGGTGTGTGGCATGGATGAGTGATGCAGAAGAGCGGTGTCTAGCATGAATGGGTGAACCAGGAGAGCGGTGTGTCGCATGAATGGGCGAAGCAGGAGAGTGGTGAGTGGCATGAAAGGGTGAAGCAGGAGAGCAGTGTGTGGCATGAATGGGTCAAGCAGCAGAGCGGTGTGTGTCATCGATGTGCTTCCATCATGTCAATTCCGCGTGTTTTGTCCCTCCCATCCTATCCCATCCCATCCCATCCCATGGTTTTATTGCCCATCCGTGCATTGTCTTGTTGAGACATGTTCCAATGCAACTGCTTGTTTATTCAAACGCTGGTAAACATGCGAAGGGTTGCCCACGTTTAGTGTTGCCCAGAGGGGTCAGTGTACACAAACAAAAAATGTCGCAATGGAAAGGCTGTAAAATCAGCCATGGCTTTTAGAGGAAGTATGGTGAACTAGCCAAGGTAAGAAACAGAAGTCTGTTATACTACACTGAATCAACACAAGAAAACGAAAATCTCAGGGCCTGGTTCGAACCAATTTGACGTGTTAATCATGGCACACGAATAAACTTGGCCCCTACACTCCCAGCATACTTCTTCTCATTGTACAAATAGTATTTTGAAATCGCTCCATTTGCAGCTCCACCATAGAAGCTGTAAGCACCCGAGCACGTCAATGATGGTGACACTGGTTTTCGCCTACCTTTCTTGCATATGCCAACAACGAATGGCCAGTACTCTGCTCTCAGGCAAATCTGCAACGGTGACATTCACAAACACATCCAACGAAGGAACATGTATCAAGACGCACAGATATGAACAAGTGAAAAACGATTTCAACGAACAAGGAAGGGCAAGTAGCTGGAACGGGTTTTTTTTGTTTTGGCATATGAGAAATGACCCCTTGCCCCCCACCCATCAAATTTACGTCTAGTCCACAAGTTTCCCCTCCATCTTTCCGTCTCACCTGCACGCCAGTGTTGCTTCCAACAGCAGAGGCGGAGGCTGGGATGACATTGGAGCAGATGAGGCTGGGATTGTTGTGGTACAGCTCAGACCAGCGCATGGCATCCACCTTCCCAGCCCCCGTGGGGTCGTCCTCGTTCCCAGCCACCTGCAGCAGCAGGCGCTCACACGTGTCCTATGCTGTGAGCACGCCGTATCGCAGGCATCGAGGCACAGTGAAGGCGAAGGTGGCGTTGCGTTCGATGCACAGAAAGCGGCCCGCCTTAATGGGCTCAGAGCATTCAAGGCCGGGATTGAGAGCTGTGAGGTTGCTGGTGGTGAGGTCCAGCTGCATACCGATGGACCAGCATGTTTCGCCCTCGAGGGGTGAAAGAAGACAGAGGCGGCTGAGGTGAATGGAGCGTGGCTTTACTATGGGAGCAGAGCCAAGCAAAACGAAGTGGGGAATTCTAGAGGAATGGTTGGATGAGATTCCTTACAGCAAAAAAAAATAAAAAAAGGTAACTCTCACAATGAGGGTGTAGAAGAACGCAGTGCAGGGAAGGAGGAGAGGACTTCCCAAAAGAAGCACCATCATACAAGGCAATGCTTGATTGCAGTCAATGACCTGCAATGAGGAGCACAGATAGTTCTTCATACTGTTCAGGTGATGTCATACCGTTTGCATGATGGATCAACAAGAAAATGGATGGAGGAGCGGTCCAGTAGGCATGGGTTAGAGTCGTGCGCGGCAACAATTAAGCCAGAAGAAACCTTCAGCAGCCTGCATGCAACTTCGCTCTCACGTTTGCCCCTTTCCTAGTAGCTCGCGCAACCCTCTTTGGGTGCCCCCACGTTGGGCCAGGGCTGGCCCGACCCAGGCCGGCCCCGGCCCGGCCGACAAGTGGTTCCAGGGCCGCGGGCCGGGATTCTTGAGAGGTCGGCCCGGGCCGGCCCGACAAGAGGTCCGGCCCCAGCGGGCCGGTCCTGGCCCGGCCCTGGCCCTGCGTCTACTGCTTACTGCATTCTGCTGCGTGAATTGGGCAAGAGAGAGGCCCACAATAGGGAGAAGATCGGAGCACCCCCAGTTGCTCCCACTCACGGCCAGGGTGGTGGCTGTGACGTTGGCTGGAAAGGAACGAATGTGAAATCAGAGGAACAGACCCATCTAAAGGGCTTAATTAGAAACCAACCTACTTGTTTGTGCATCACATGGGTGGACAGTGGAAGCAGTTCGTGACAACCCAAACATATGGTGCAAGAATAGCTGAATGAAGTTGCGACCCTCTTACAAACAGGACCAAGGCAGCAGCACCTGGGTCGCAGGTGGGGAAGCTGTCAATGGTTGTGCTTCCAACATAGTTGGGAGGGCAGATGTAGGAGTACGAGCCTTTGCCATCGTTGATGCATGCGCCCACGTAGCACGGGTTTTTCAAGTCAGACCCACACACATCCACTGCCAAGCGACACAAACACAGTAATGGAGCACAGGTGTGAGAGAAATACACGTGTTGGGAGCAATGGGAGGAGAGCGGGGACGAATGAAGGGGAGAGATAGAGCTCCAGAAAGATATGGACAGGGGATTGGTTGAACGAACGTATCACGACCGAAGAAGCCCATTGTTCTGAAAACGGCCTTTGTTTTGACAACAACCATGGGTCAAAGTTTTTATTTTAGAGCAGGAGCATCACAACTTACAGTAAGCACACGTTTGGGAGCCATATCCAATTGCAACTTGAACAAATGGCTGCTTAGATTCGTTAGGAATGGAACAGTCACACGAGTTGGTGTTGTTCAGTAGGTTAGCCCGGCATGAGAATCGCCCACAGGGGTTCATGCTAGGTTGCACTTCGCCATCACCCTTGAAGCTCCTCTGGCCGCACGGGTCTTTGGGGACTGAAGGGTGGTACAGACGAGAACAAGAGGAGAAGAAACAAGTGCGTATGCAGCTTCACTGAAAAAAGGTGTGGGCAGGAAAGACAAGCCTTAACCAAATGATAGATGAAAAAGCTGGAAACCGCGAGTTGGGGATTGACCACCTTACAACTTTGCGGATAGCATTGGCTCACACTCCCGTCTCTTTGTTGACATTTCCTCCACCCCACACTTTTTTCCATAGTTGAAATTTGAGGCAATCTTCTAGACTAGAGCTTGACCCTAATACAGTTGACCATGTGATGTACTCAACGGGGGGGATTGACAAACGGGGGGAGCGATGAGGGATGTTTCCCCCCTCAAGATCATAGTGTGGATGCCTCACTCTTGACAATGGGGTAGATGCAAGGCAGTACGTTGATGCCACAAACGCCATTTCCTCCCTGAATGTCCATGCGCATGTGGCCCCGGTCGCCCCACTCCACTCCCCACGAGTTCCGGAGAATCCAAAATGGTGGCGCAATGCGATTTTGACTCCCGTCATTTCTCAAGACAAAATAGCCAATAACGAGTACGACATGGTTGAGTCTGCCTGTATAGCAGCCAGGATCCTGGTACTTGAAGGTCTGACAAGGAAGGGGGCACCAAAACATAAAACATACAACATACAACATCCAACAAACAACAAACAACAGACAACGACTTTAGGCATACAGCTGAATGCGGGTACAACTGTGAGTTAGTTTGAATGCCCACAGCTTAATGCGGATAACAACTTCCTTACATCTCTTGACAACTTGTGCACAGCACACAGGGCGAAAGAAAGATAGACTTACCCCGTCATATTGTGCGAAATCCAGAGCAGAAGCCTCGATGTGAACCACCACTGGCTGTCGTCGCACAGCCAGCATGAGTCCCACAAACCCCTTAAACTGTGTGCGCTCAAAGCCTTGCACAGGGTATTCCTTTTTCTGAAGAAAGAAACATACATAGATTCCACCAGAGAAAATAAAAGTTTGCTTGTTGAAAATGCTAGGGGCCAATTATTGCAAGCAGTAGAATGTTGGGTGCATACACAATGGTTAGATTATACATGGTGTAACTACTCATATACGTTCCCTTCTTTATGTTTTATGGAATTTCCAAGTATGGCTCGGCCCTCATGTTTTATGGAACTTTCAAGTATGGCTCCGCCCTCTTTCGGCTCGTGGCAAGCCGGCCTAGGCCGACCCTTGATCATGTTTGGTAGAAGCTGTTTGCCTCTTGCTCCCATCATTTTGCCTCTTGGCACTCACCCTACCAATCTATTATTGGTTCAACTCAGTTATAAGTTGCAACCCATGACAGTGGCTTCAACGACTCAAAGAGAGTCCTCATATCACCGGTCTTCATATAGTCATAATTCTCTCAGCATCAGGCACACCATTACGATTTCTCAAATGTCTCCTGCAACTCTATACATTCTAGTCATTCACTTCACCACACTACTCACAGGCGATCCAGCCTCTGTGACTCCACCGCGAGGCAGCGCAACAAGCCTTTCCAACACCTTGGTGGGAGAGCCCCCCGTGCTGCACTTGTCAGCTTCCGAGGTGAGCCCCATGGCTGCAAAGAGTGATTCCACTGACAGCTGTGGCGCCTCTCCATTCATTGCAATGCCGTATGCCGCTTCCACGCTTGCCACCACCGCAAACGCCCAACAAGCACCTGTGTATGATGTGAACAGTTTTGTAAATTAGTGAAGCCGATGCGATGATGGCTGAAAGGAGATGGAAACACTTATTGAGCCGAGTTCAGATAGTTGAAACATGAAAGTGAGGCAGAAGAGCACATGGAAAACATGCAGATTGTAGCAACCAGCCAAGAGAAACCTGTCAAGCTATGATTCTCCAGGTTCCACAATGGTTTCACTCACTGCAGTCGTTTTGGTTCTTAACAGGCCAGCCGAGGAAGGGCACGGCGTCCCAGGAGTGGAAGTCGCGAATGGCCCACGAGTCCTGCTTGATGGGCGCCACTCGGTAGTCCGCACTCACATAGCGCGGAAAGGGGCTGGCCCACTCTGGCAGGTACGTGTCCGTTGATAGCCGCAGGCCATACGCTGGATATGCTCAGAAGTTGCATTACGAAATGGAAGAAATGAGTTGTTACAATGGAGAACGAATACATCTGGCTGGGATGCGTTGCGCTTACACTGCTGGGCTGCACGTCATATCTGATCACATCTGCACCTCATGTGGCCATTTCACAATTATTTCAAATCCACCAACTCCGTTCAGTGGTAATGCACCTGTAATAATACCTCTCTCATTGAGAAAACGCTTCCCTAAATCGGTAGACCGTAAACAGAGTTGATCAGTGTTTGTTTGTTTGTTTGTTTTTTTCCAGTTTTCATAGAATCAAACTCGTTGAGATTTAGGTGCATTGTGCTGGTGGTGAGCATATTGTCTAGGTTATCATCGTCCATATTGTCTAGGTTATCCTTCCTGAACCTAATCTACTGAATGCATCCGCCAAAACAAAACAAAACAAAACATGGTAAGGAGGAGAGTGAAGGTGGAAAGTTTAACCAAATGTGAAGGGAAAACATTTGTACAGATGATAAGACGATCATAACAGCCAGTCACTCACAGCGCTTGCCTGTTCTGTCCATCTTACACAACATGTCGCGAGAGGTTGCAACAGAACAGAAGCATGGGAGACGATGTCTCACCTGGATTACTTGTGAATGCCTGGGGAGCAGCAGGAAAGCCTGAGAAGAAACAACAAAATCAGATAGACGAAAGAAGACACCGTGTAAGGTTCAGAAACGTGTGGGTCATACCTACAGTCACTTTTAGATTACATGTATTGAACAAACCGTCCATCAAAGCCCTCAAGACCACCAGCTCTACCCTCATCTTTACCAGAACTATCCTCATTGTCACGATACTTTACATCATATCCACTCCCACACTCTCGTTGTCACCCCCTCCACATCCTCCAAATAGGACCTGTGTTGTTAACCACCATGCGAAGCTCATCCTTCTAGCAGCACACACGGCTTACCTGTGTCTACTGTCGATTCAAGAATGACGTGGCGCTGAAACGGCTTCACAGTGGTGGACGCCACGAAGCCAAAGAAGAAGGCGGGCTGCTCGGCTGCACCCTGCAGCACCTCACACAGCGCCAGCCTCCTCTCCAGCACCGCCTGCTGCGGCTTCTCCTGCGAGTCAGCCAGGAAGACCTGGATGGTGCCGGGGTCCCCCGGCTCATAGTCCACCCACGCCGTGTACGCCTTCCTGCTGCTCAGAGGGAAGGGCGATTTCACAGCGGCAACTGACTTGTCCTCGCCTCGAATGTTCAGCCCCACATGTGGGCTGCTCATGTCGCCATGCTCCTTATTCTGAAAAGTGTCAAACTCCACCGCCATGCTCCGCACGTCCATTCCACCATACCCCACACCAGCGCCGCTCCCCACCCGGTTCGTTGCCGAGACGACAAAGGCAAAGCCGTTGAAACCCACGCGGCCGGATTGAGGCGAGAGGGAGAAGGTGAAGTTGGCGTGGAAGGCGAGCTCCAGCCCACACCCCAACGCCGCCTGCCCTGCCTCGTACACAGAGTCACCGGCGCTGTGATGAAGTTCCCCGTTGTCTCGCGATGCGTCCCCTTGGTGAGCACAGATGCTGGCGGGAGAACGGGCTGGCTGATTGAGTAAATTTTGTCCAGGTCTGCACAAACATAACAGACGGACGGAAAGGAGTGGGATATAAATATATAAACAACCTCACGATTTTGGATGTATGGTGAAAAAAGGGTTTAGAGTTGGAACACATGAATGGGAACCGGGGGCAATTCCCAGTGCGACTGGCTGAAATATTCAATCGGTGAGCTTGGAAAATTCAGCTGATCATTACATTTGGGTTGGCCTGGGATGTAACACCCAACCACAAAACTAACAACTTCTCGAAACTGGGACAAAAAAAGAGCACCTATTATACACATGACATGGAAGTCTATTTCTAACAATACAGAGGCATGAGAAGGTCGAGCAGAATTCCCACTCTGGAGTTCATGTGAGTTGGACGTCCCACCATTCTTTGAATAAGTATGTGGTCATATCTCATCGATTTCAAACGGTGTTCCCTACTTTGAGCAGCACAGCTGAACTTTCTAAATTGCACGAAACCCGCGTCGCACAGACATGTGGGTGCGAAGCTAGCGCCCTCTGGATAGCACACTCCATGGCCTCCACACGCAGCAGCAGCAGCAGCAGCAGTAGAGGAGACGCCACAGAATGCATTGCATGCTGCCTCCGGCCGTTTTTGCACCGAGGCACAGCCAAGCGGCCGCGTGAAGCAATTGGCATCAAAGAAGTTACGCCGACATGCCCCGTCAGGCAGAGGGCCCGAGAGGAAGTTGCTGGAGAGATCCAGGATACATTCAGCACGAGGCATCACTGCAGGTCCTGTGAGGTAGTTGTGGGAGAGGTTCCTGCAGGGGGGAGGGGCAGGTGCCGGGAGAAGGACGCAAGGGGACCACTTAATCTTTGTGACTACACAGCATGAATGGCGCGTCAGATGCTCTTGTTGGCTTGGTGATTGCATGATTTTGGGAGTACAAGTGTGCGTGCGTGGCTTGTCGAATGCGTACAAGAGGGAAAGCGCCATAGCATGCGAGAAGGAGTGAGTTAGTGTGTGGGTCATACATGGTTACGAGCTCCGAAAGCTTGGTGAGAGTGCTCGGTATGCTCCCATACAGCTCGTTGAAGGCGAGAGACCTGATGGCCATGGCGGGGAGATAGAAGGATGTTAGAGGAGGAATAGGAAGGATACAAGGGGAGAATTGGGACAGATGGAGTACCAAGCTGGGTAGGTTAGAACGACGCAATACTCACATGCAAAATTGACATGGTAAATCCACTCGCAGATACACTTAATAGGTTCATGTGCTGGATTCACTTGCTGTCTGGTGGAAAGGTCTCCAGTGGAATACATGACAAAAGAGGTTCATGCCTGTGCCATAGTAAAAAGCACCAAGAAACCACATAGGTGCTTGCAAGCTAGACACTTTGGGTGGAGAATTTACAGGGAAGGCACGTGTACAAAACACTGCTTTGGAAGAATACCGAACAGAACAGAAACATCCATACAATGCACAAGTGAGGATGGTGAGATAAGTTCAGATTGAAGCAAAGGGGTGTGAAAATGGGGTCCTGTGAGGAGAGACTGGTTGCTCAGAAGTAGATACAAGGCAGAAGAGGAAATTTGTGGACAGGACGTAAACGATTCTTACAGAAGCACCAAATTCTTCATTGAGCTAATCCATGCAGGGATAGAGCCAGTGAGCTGATTCTCATAAAGCAGCCTGAAGTGAATGTGAAGATATGACAGGATGTGAAAGAGACAAAGGCAAAATCGTGGAATGCCAAAGTCAGCAGGGGCACGAAAACGAGGTGTAGGTGTGTCTGCTAATAGTTGGAGCAACTTTAAGTGGTCTAAAAAGAGAAGGATTCAATGGGCTAAGGAAGGACAACGCAGGCCAAAAGGAAGTGGGACAGAAAGAGGTTATCCTGAAGCCATGGCAGAAGGCAACGGGGACTTCAGTTGGGAAAAAACCAATTTTCAGTTTGGTCCGGGTTCGACCCGACAATTTAGGGCAAGACCGTAAATCTGAGTGCTGTCAGAATCCCAACCACTAGACCATTGGGATAAAAAGGCTTGTTAAGTAGCGGGTCAATGCGCCCATAACCCCCCAAGACAACGAGCCTATAACCCTTCCCTAGGATCAATCAGGGATCTCCAGTGGACCTCTGACACCCCCCCGCACTGGGATGCCCGAAGTGCACACACTAGGATTCGAACCCGAGACCGCTCTGATACCATGTCAGGATTCCCAACCACTAGACCATTGGGATAAAAGGGCTTGTTAAGTAGCGGGTCAGTGCGCCCATAACCCCCCAGGACAACGAGCCCGTAACCCTTCCCTAGGATCAATCAGGGATCTCCAGTGGACCTCTGACAAGTGCGCCATCATCGGCTGGCACACGCGCCAGAAGGCGACCTCCTCCTCCTCCTCCTCCTCCTCCTCCTCCTCCTCCTCCTCCTCCTCCTCCTCCTCCTCCTCCTCCTTCTCCTCCTCCTCTTCCTCCTCCTCCTCCTCCTTGTCCCCTCCTCTAGTCGCTGCCGAACCCAGCCCAATTCGACGTAGGCCGGCCGGGGAAAGTAAAGGCCCCAGCTCGGTCTGCTACGAATTAGTACGCATCAGGCTGAACCACAGATTTCGTTTCTGGTCATGCCTAATGGTTACGTTGTACCTAGGCTCAAAACTCAAACTTGCACCTGATCGGGTTAAAGTGGTCGAACCACGAAACGTAGTTGCCCGAACTGGTTCACTTTGGGCCGAGTTCTAAAGGTCACAAACTAATAACGACACATTAGCAAATAATTTCACCTCCACGAATTTGGAATTCTGCTTGCGGTCACATCCATGCGGAGTCTAGAATTACCATGCCACAACTCAGGACGAGCAAACAAAAACTGAGTTTACCAAATGGCAGTGCTCACCAACCTATCTGGCTGAGTTGGTGAGCACACGTTGTGGACGTATGTTGCATACAATAGAATTGGCTGACATACACGGCGCAACTATCTTGGCTTGCAGATCACCCGGGACAGAGCACGGCGCACCATTACCTTGACTCAGTCACACATGGCGCAGCAGGTCCTTCAGCGCTTCCGCTTCACGTACTCCTCGCCATAGTCCACTCCTTTGCCTACCGGTCACTCGCTCTCAGCTCTGCCTTCGGATGAGTCCGTGGAGCCGAGTGACCCATATCCAGAGCTTGTGGGTTGCCTCATGTACCTGATGATCTGCACTCGACCTGACCTTGCTTACCCTCTTAGCATCTTGGCACGCTACGTTGCGCCTGGGAGACACCGCCGACCAGAGCACTGGGAGGCCGCTAAGAGGGTGATGCGCTACTTGTGCAGTACGTCGGGCATGGGGCTCGTGCTTGGAGGACGGGCTCGTGCTTGGAGGACGGCCTCAAGTTGTCCTCACTGGTCACGCAGACGCTTCTCGGGTTGACGACTTGGCCACGCAGCGGTCATCACAGGGTTACACCTTCAGCCTTGGCTCCGGCTCCATTTCTTGGCGGTCGACCCGCTCGTCTTTTGTTCTCAGTTCCAGTTGTGAGGCTGAGATATACGCAGGGGCCATGGCTTCAGAGGAGTTACGCTGGCTCGCCTACCTGCTGACCGACTTGGGTGAACCGCCTCGTTCTCCTCCAGTTCTGTACGTCAACAACAAGTCCATGATTGCCTTGTGTCAGGAGCACAGACTGGAGCACAGGACGAAGCACATCGCTCTGCGTTACTTCCGTGCTCGAGAGTTGCAGCAGCGTGGACAGCTTCATCTTGCTTACGTGGCCTCTCGAGCCAACACTGCTGATATCTTCACCAAGGCACTTCAGCCTTGTGATTATCAGCGTTTTTGTACTGTTCTAGGCCTTGTGCCTACTTTGTCTCACTTGCTCACTTCTTGACTTTGCTTGTACTATGATCTATATGCTTATACCCGCATGCTTACACTTGCTAGGTTTTGATCACTGTACTGCTTGTTCTGCTTTATATAACTCTGCATGCAAACTGGCCTTGTGGCCATTTGCTTGTACTTAGAATGTGTGGTGACTTCGTGATCCACCCTGAGCTTGCTTTTCTTTTCTTGACTGGTCTTGTGACCTCTTGTTCTCCCCCAGTTTACCTATGGGGGTGTGTCAAACTTATGTGCTCTATCTTGTGTAGGCTATAGTTGGGTAGCCCATATGGAGTACAACCCAATTAGGGTTAGTACTTGTACTCATCCTGTCGCTAGTCAATCCATTCTCGTTCGTACTTCTGACACGACTTGCACACGGTTGACCTTGCTGTGCTGGCAATCGTTCTGCTTGCATGCTAGCTCTGATGTAGTCAGCCTAGCCAACTTTGTTGCTATCATTCTGTACCATTATTTTCAACTTTTGATAATGAAACTCTTGCCGAATTTCCCCGTTAATGCGCAAGTAGTACGAGGATAAGCAAACGACTAAGGATCGAACGCAGAGATCACTCCTACCTTGTGCCTCACCCGTAGACTAGCTGCCATTGCTAGATTTATCTCCGCAGTTCCACTAGCAAAAAGTTCAGAATTGTGGTTAATAATAGCAAGGCAATAGTGGCTACATTAGGAGCAAGTCTGCCTAGCAGGTCGACCTCCAGTGCAACATGGTTGATTGCCTTCTAGCGCAGCGAAGTCCGCACATCTTCAGCACTCGAGAAAGGCGGCTTGTCAACATACCAAGTCGACGGCCCTTCGTTAGCGGGCCCCGCGGCCTTTCGTTAGCGGGCCCCGCGGCCTTTCGTCCATGGGCCCCGAGGCTTCTTTGTTTGCGGGCCCCACGGCCCCGTCGTTAATCGCACGCAAGCACAGCAGCAGCCGCGCGCACGAGCGACCCGTCGCCCCACCCGTTCCCCACCGTCGTAATCGCCGCCCCACCCGTTAGACGCGGCCCCACCCGCTGCCTTACCCGCCGCCCAGTCCGTTAGCCGTCGCCTCACCTGCGATCTGCTGCCCCACGAGCAGAAAACCGCCGCCACACCAGAAATCCGCCGCCCCAGGAACTGTAGCCCGCTACCTTAACCGCCGCCAGACCTAAAACCCGTCGCCCTAAACCTGGAAATTGCCGCTGTAACCGTGTTAGCAGCGCCAACAGCTGCACCGTGCTAGCAGTGCCAGCAACTGCTAGAAATGCGCCAGTAGCCCCACCTGTCCAGCAGCCCCACCTGACCAGCAGCCCCACCTGTCCAGCAGCCCCAACTGTCCAACAGCCCCACTTGTCCAGCAGCCCCACCTGGCCAGCAGCCCTACCTGTCCAGCAGCCCCACCTGTCCAGCAGCCCCACCTGTCCAGCAGCCCCACCTGTCCAGTAGCAGCTTAGGCTGCCCCAGCAGAACTAGCAGCAGCGTAGGCTGCCCCCAGCAGAACCAGTAGCAGAACTGGCTGCCCCCAGCGCACCAGCAGCAGCTTAGGCTACCCCCGGCGCACCCCCCCGTTTCTAGCTACTCACAAGGCGTGTACTGGAGTTCTACAGCAACCGGTCCAGCTGCCGCACTCCCGGCAGTGGGAACCTGCGGGTCCAAAGTGTGGCGCCCCTAGCAGTGGCTCAGCCAACAGTGGGCGAGATGTCGGTCCCTGTGGGTACCGATCCCTGACAGGCCCTGGTGCTGGCACTACCTGCTGGAGTCCAACAACTACCGTCGACTCGACGAGGTTCACCGTGAGCGTTTTGGTCCCTACGCTATTACATCGCGCTGGCCCTCGCGTCTTTGCCAGCGCACTACGGCACCAGTTGAGTCTCACCTACCTGGTCTAGGAACTTTCCCGGCTGCACGAGTAGAGACCTACATTTCCAGTCTTGGTGCGTGTGTTGTTTCCAGTCCAGGCGTCTCTGAGGGTCTTTGTGTAGGAGCTGCAGCTACCACTAGTCTAGCACCAGCCTTTGTCGCTGGCTCGGGTACAACCTCACAGACTGCACAGCTTTTCTTCACCCTAGAATCTAGAGCGTCCAGCTGTTTCTTTCGCGACTATACTGACCTCACACCACTGTGCACTGCAGTCACTGTCGCCTTGGCTGACTCTTCTGTGGGACCTGTAATTGCCCGCAGCATCACCACTCTCCCGTGTCCGGCGGCTCCCTCTGGGTTCCTCACAGGAACCTGATGGGTGTCAGTCATCTCCACGACCTAGGAGTGGTCAACACTTTCCCAGTGGACGAGCCTGTTGCCTCCTGCACAGTTGGTACCACTTGGGCCCCTCTGGCCACTTTTCACAGGGAGCCGGGCTCTGGTCTATACTCACTACACACTAGTTCCCACCACACTGGGTCCGGCCAGGTCAGGTCAGGTCAGGTAGCTGCTGTGTCGTGTGACTGTCGGTCCCTCACCCACCCGTTGGTCCTCTGGCACCACCGTCTAGGTCACCCGTCGTTCTCACTTCTCAGTGGGATGGCACGTCACCGTCTGGTATCAGGTCTCCCAAAGTCGCTTGCCCCGCTTCCTCGCTCGCCTGCGCCGCTGTGCACTCCTTGCGTCGAGGGTCGGCAGCGCGCTGCCCCTCACTCCTCCTCGTTCCCCCCCACCACGGCTCCCTTCCAGACCCTTCACTTGGACGTTTGGGGCCCCTCCCCGGTCCTTGGCCCACGTCAGTAGCGATACTTCCTGATTGTGGTGGACGACTATTCCCGCTACACCACGGTTTTCCCCTTGCGACAGAAAGCCGACGTGCCTACCGTCCTCGAGCCGTGGCTAGTAGCGTAGGGTGGCGCCTAGGGCCTGTGTGGGCTTTGCCTACACTCGGACCGTGGTGGTGAGTTTTCTTCCACTCGCCTAGAGACGTTCTGTCAGGGTCGGGGAGTCATTCAGTCTTACACGCTACCAGCCTCGCCATAGCAGAACGGGGTAGCCGAAAGACGCATCGGCCTGGTCATGGAGGTTGCCTGGACCTCCATGTGCCATGCCAATGCCCCTCAGTTCTTGTGGCCTCAAGCAGTCTGCTACGCCACGCACCAGCTGAACCTGTGGCCCAATGACGCACGGTCGCGGGTGACGCCGGTCTCCCTCTGGACAGGTTTACCAGGCGTAGCAGCTGAAATCCACGTCTGGGGTTGTCTGGCTCACGTTCTCGCCCCTGTTGTCTCCGCGCAGTCGTGCCGGGGTCTTTCTTGGCTTCCCTTTGGACGCCCCCGGCTGGGTGTTCTATGACCCGGTCACCTGCGGGTTCTTTGCTTTTCAGGGCGTCACGTTCGACGAGTATGTCTGTTACTACAGGAGTCGCCCCCACCGAGGTACTGAGGTCTTTTCCCCCCCGCTGTTCCGCACCCTTGAACCACCCCCAGTTGCCCTGGTAGCCCCCCCCTTTTCCCGTCCTGCCCCGTCAGGTGTGTTGCACGTCACTCCGCGGTCGTCCCACCTGCAGCGTCCAGGCCCTGTTGTGTCTGGGGGTACGAAAGGTGCAGTTGTGGAGGGTGAGGGTACTGGGGCTACAGGAGCTGGTGGTGTTGGCTCTGGGGGTGCAGGGGTTGTGGGTGTGGAGGTCACTCCGGTGGAGGACACGGCAGCCTCGAGTCGGCGGCCTCGCCCAGCGTCACCCCCTGGCTTCCCGTCCGTCCCGCAGTTCCCTCATCGTTCTTCTCTATGGCC